AATGCATATCAATTTAGGGGTTGCTTGCATCAACGGCTTCTTTTTTCAATATAGTAAATAATAAAGGAATGTTCATATCCTATTTTGTGATTTATCACTTTACATTTTGCTCAATTTAACATAATCAGCAATATTAAAAATGTATTCGGTTATATTATTATTTTCCAATTTCTGTAAGTATACGGTATATTATTTATAGGGACATTTACATTTGATACCATCTATGTAATCTTTTCTCATTTGTAATTGTTACCTATCCATGTTTTTGCCAATTTTTTTGTTGGAACGGATAAATACAATTCAACTTGAAGCACTAATTTTCATGGAAGTGTGTCTTTAGAATAATTGGTAGCTAGGTAGCCAAACGGTGTTCCTAAAGGATGAATTTAACGGAACAACAAAATGTGTACTAAAGAGAAATGATGGGTACTACATGAGTATACTAGCAATATGATCTAAAGGAGATAATATAGAAGATAATTTATACAAGATATACATGAGAAATTGTTAAGCGGATATATAATAACAATTTTAATAAGTTTTGAAGTTGAATCAAGATATTATCATCTTTGAAATTGTTCAAAACTTTTACCATAAAAGGCAACAACTTATGTTTTCTACTAGGTAGCATAGAGATCATATCTTATATGGCTACATAATTAGGGTTGAACAAAAAAACCGACAATCCTACTATTTTGAATGAGGCATATCAAACTCAACATCGTGATGATGATGACATGTAAATACAAATGATAATAGCAAGAATTTGTGTTTTTACTTAGAGCGATCGACAAAAAGTCGCGCTAGTACTCTTTGATAACTTGAAGAAAATATAACTGGCGACACCTTACTAGGACTTAGTAACATAGGTACTTACATAATCTAATACAGCATTTCAGATGAGAAAAACTATGTGTTGATAGTCATAAACACTTATCGGAACCTTTGTGGCGAAAAAGAAGAGGTATGGTTCAATTGTGTTAACACATTTCAGTCCTGTATGACGCCAAGAAGAGAATCTTCATTGTTGCTACTGTAATTTGACTTGAAATTTGATACCATTCATGTAACTGATCTCATTTGTAACCTATGCATCTGACTTTTTTGTCTTTTGCTAAATTATTTCTATAGGATCCAGTTGAGACTTCAGTAGAATGCTATTGGTGATTTGATCCTTTAGGTAACTTGTTGTTCTCAAACGACTATGATGAGTTCGGTACCAACGCTTATGATGAGTTCGGTACCAGCGTTTCTGTTTTCTACATCCACATATTTGGAGGACCTTTTGTAGCAAGTGTGAAAGGTCTAAGAGCATCTCTATCATTTTGATACCCAAAAGGTGTATCTTAAAAATAAAGTGTTATTATTTTAATACATTTCATATAAATAATTAAATTTTAATTTTAAATCAAAAATAAGTCATTTATAAAATGACATGTAGCACTGGAGTTTCTTAAAAGTCTCTTAGAACATCTTCATCTATCGTCTCTTACAAGAGTTAATCCATGACACATGACACACTATAACTTTTTAACTTCCTTTTTTTGATTTAATCTTTAAAGAAATAATAATATATTAAATTATTAAAGTTATATTTTAAGAAACTGAGAGAGTTTCTAACGATTCTTTTAGAACCGATTATTCTTTCTTCTTCATACTTTTTAAAATTTTTTTATTTTAGTACAAAGTATCTAAACTAGGTAATAGCAATGTATTTGCTCTAAGAAACCTGCAAAGCCCAAATGTGCAAATTAAGGTGGAGCGACTGCATCCGAATCAGGGCCGGCCCTGGGCTGAAAGCTAGTAAAGCCCTTGCTTTAGGGGCCAAAACATATATATAGATTTAGAGGGCATACATTTTTGAAGATAAGTGTTAGTGCAGTGGTTGACACTATATTAATAATCCCTCATGTATTTAGTTCAAACCTCCAAAATATTATTTTTTTATTTTCTTAAAATAAATGGGCTTAAGGACTCTGTTTTTGCTTTGGACAACAATATCTATTGGGCCGGGCCGGCCCTGATCCGAATGATATACACTTAAGAGTCCTTCCTTCCAAGAAACATTGAGTCTAATGAACCAAACTAAATCTCAAAAGGAGAAAAGATCATTTTGACATTTGTACACTACATTGTTTGTTCTCAAGTATGTTTTGTACTTTTTTTTACATTTGTTTGACATTTCTTTCCTAAAAGGTTTTTGTAAGAACAATAGATGAGGGTAAGAAAAAGCTTACCATCCATATATTCGTGCCTCATCTTTTCCTTGTAGCCATTATCAATCCTTGTCTCTCTGTCCCCCTTTCCTTTTCAGTCTTTTTATTTTCTTTTGTCATAGGCTACTGATATAATTTTTCATTATTCATTTGTTGAACACAAGTCTCAGGGTAGACAAGGGGCAATCATGCTTTTGATTACTTTTATTTCAATCTTGATAGGAAGAGATTAATCAATAGAAATGAAGATTTGGTATTTGGATTTTAATGTGTTTGTATGCAAGAGATAAAATCATTCTTTGACCAAAGCAGCTTCAGATATTGCATCCCAGTCCAAAGGGGTTTTAAAGTTTATTTTGATGATATCTATACGCATAGCTGTTTATTATAATTCTTCTGTTCAGAGCCAATCATCCAATAGAGCGAGATGCATCAAAATGTTGATAATCTATTAGAGAATGATTGGGTTCACTATATTCAAACAAAGCTTGAAGACTGATTGAAGGTGACAAAGAAGAAGGATTCAGATTTCTAGAGTAGCACAAGCCAAGAACCAACTAGTGTATCAAACACTCTAATACATCTAAGAAGAATCGAACTCGAACACAAGGTGGCAAGAATTTGAAGCTCTGACCACACCATCCAATTCATTGAGCATCTTACTTCTTTTTTCCAACTTGCTGAGATCTTCCGATTTAATGGGATTTGTGGAGAAAGTTGCCTTCTTCAAGAGTCTTGCGTTCTCTAGAATGTATGTAGCCACTTCAGTCTCTTCTTCTCTTACCCAACAAATTTCTCGAGGTGAGACAACAAACATTCAGGAACATTCTTTGGTTGATTCCATTTCCCGCCGACCACACCATCTTTACTAAAAAAAGAAGATTGCTGATGAGACCAACACGAGACAAAATACAATTAGTGTTTATCATTATTAGACCAAAACTAATCCCATAGAGAGATCATAAAAATGTTAGCTAGCTAGCTGAATATTAATGAAATGTCTTACACCAATGAGCTTAAGGACTTTAAGTTTAGGAGAGCTATCGAGCATGATTGTAAGTAAATTCCACCACTCCGCTTCCCGTGTACACATCTCTAGAGATACCAGCTGATAGAAGATACCAGTAAGATCTTTAATCTATCCATAAAGATCATATCATTATTAGTACAACAACATTGTGATAACAGAAAAAAAGCAAAAATGCGAATAGCAAAGTTACCTGGAAGGGTGATAAATCTAAGAAAAGACGTTTGACTGACTTGAGAGATCCCAGAAGCTTCTCATCGACAATCTTAGAAACGTTTCTAATTTTTGCTTCATGTAACAATGGCGTCTTCTCAATCAAACAAAGCTCAAAACCATTTAACTTTCCAATTTCTAAGTATTCCAAAGAAGGAGTGTTTATCACATAGTCCCCATTCTTTTCTCTAGTGTGACCGTAAATCGATAATCTCTTCAAAGATGGCGCCACAATAGTGAAATTCGTTTCATATTGAGGGAAATATATACTCACGGAAAGAACTTCAAGATTAGGGCAGCCAGATAAAAGGTTACAAATGGATTCATTGTCATTGTCTTTGTACTCCACATAATAAAGGTGAAGAGCTCTAAGAGACTTCATAGAAACCAGAGAAGGAACATCTACGTAAATCGAATTTATGAGTGTCAAGGTCTCAAGTGTATCACAGCAAAACAAGCTACTCGGAAAAGTGACTACAACAGCTGATGACTCGGAAAAGAGTAGAAACTCACGCACATTGCGTGCAATCGCAGTTCCAGCCCATAGTTCAACATCTAAATCACAATATCCATCTCTAACTGACAGACTCAAACTCTCTAGAACTGGAGCTTTATGTGAAAGAAAAGACCTGGTAACATTCTCTGCAAGTTTCTTATAATCAAATACAAACTTGAGCTTCGGCACCATCTTCCAAATAGATCGCCATTGTTTAGACAAAACACTCGTGGCTATGACATCTTTTGTTGGAAGTAAAGATAATATCTCCAGAATCAAAGCTTCAGGCAACTCACTGATCTTGTCCTCCCTCACAACATCTCGCTGTTTCAAACTTTCACCACAAAATTCAAAGAAGAAAAGATTAAAAGTTAGGGTTAATTAATTTGGAGCTTACGGTTTAACAACAGTTCATAAAGGACGCAGGGAAAAGACACAAACGAAACAAAGAAACAAACCCTTGTTCCATCTTCGTTAACAGAGAGACTATAATTGTTTTGATGGTAAAAATTTTCAGAATTGTGCCTTCCCAAGTTCCCAGTGCTATCGTATAACAAACGCAAACGAGATATATTGAAAAAACTAGGGTTATGATGGTTTGGGCTGAACCGATTGGTTTTGTTTGCTATCAAACCATATCCAATTTCAATTAATCAGACCAGTTTAATAAGAGGCCAATTTGATACAGTACTAGGATTCAACCCGCGGCGTACCGCGGGTATCGGTATTGTTTGGTTTTCATATTATATATTTTATAATGTATAATTTATAATTTTTAAAAAGAGTTAATATATGTTTTTTGGTGGTTGTTAAATTTTTAGTTAGGAGAAGGTATATTTATTGGGTTAACTATGTGTATTATTTGTGGGTTTTGTACCAAAATTTTATATAGATAAAGTATTAAAGAAATGTGAAAAAGTAAAGCTGTATTTCTTGGTATTCTAATTTTTGTAATAGTGTGAAAAATTCTATATATATTTTTTGTTTAACCTAACAAACAGTGTTATTTACTGTAAGTTAATAAAAATAATTAAGAAAATATGTTGTAAGTTGGAAAGAATTCTTTGTATATTATAAACTAATAAAATTACATTATAAATACAAAGTAAAGAAAGTAAAAGAAAATCTACCGCCGGTTCTTCCTTAGTTTCGATCTAGGAAGGATCCGTCCCCAATCTAGTTTCAACCCGATTTCTGAGTATAAAGGTAATGCTATAATTACAAGCGTGTGCAAAGATGGAACCGCGCGTTGCTTCTAGCTCTAGGGATGGCTTTAGCGGTGGATCTGCTCTTCTTTTACGCGCTCTCTATCGCCCAAACCACCGGACCGGCGTGTCTTTACATGGACGGTGCATTCGCGGCGGTGGTCACGGTGCTACGCACGTGTCTTGACGCAGTTCATCTTTGGCATTTATAGCTTCAATTCAGATTGGCTTACGTCTTTCGAGATTCATTTGTCGTTAGTTGTGGCAAGCTCAATTGGGATCCACACGCCATCGCGTCTCACTACGCACGCTCTCATCCTTCATGTCCCGCAGGTGACTTTTCAAAACAACCTTCAAACTATTACAATATTATGAAAATAACCCTAAACATCTTATTAGTATCAAGAAAGCCCCCATAAGACATTTGAAAGTGTTACCTGTTGGTGAATCCTGATTTGAGATGCAGATCAGAAGTGAACTTTGCAGGGTGACGATCCAGATTTGTTGCAGATAGGCTTCAACCCGCGGTGGTTTTTGGCTCAGAAAAAAAAGAGGTATTAGTCGTTTGCTATGAATTGCTGGATAGTAAGAAATGATAGAGACGTTTGATATTTATAATGAAGTAGAATGATAGGGTTTTTGGCTCATAAATTTTCGAAAATCATGGAGCCGAAGCAAAAAATATAGGATATATTAACTTGAATATCTTCTTGATTGATATCAAAATTAATGATTCACGAATTTAGGGGAAATTAAGATATTGAGTAGTAGTTTATGGTTAGGATTAGATTAGATAATATTTTTTTGGAAAATTATTTAGTAACTAATCGAGATTTGGAGAATATATTTTATACTGCGATCGAATATGCCTTAAATTAGATACCAAATATGTTGAATGGTTAGGATTGCATCTCTGTTTTGTGAAGATGTTAAAACCCGATTAGTGATTCGTTTAAGGATTTGGATATATTTGATTCATTTAAACCCGTTTAATAAACACGCGGACCCTAAAGTTTTATTAATGAAAATTTTAGACTATTTTACCCTTATCAATTTTGCTAAATACTCTACAAAATCCAAAATCGAAATTGAAATTGAGGCCAAATTAGACTATTTTTCAATTTGTACTTCCTTTTAATAGTAAGGGAATATGAAGGATATTATTAATAAGACACGTGGACGGTGGAAGATGAAGATAGAATGAACGGCCACGATAAAAGAAAGAGAAGAAGATGCGTTTAAAGAAGAAAGCGAAGAAGTTTAGATTCAATCATGAAAAATTGTGAAGTTTGTTAGATTTCTCTCTAATTTGTGAAGATCCCTAAGAGGTTCTTACAAGATGAATCTGGAGATTCCTTGTTTTAAGAACATTGGATCTTCTCCGTTTGAATATTGAATTGAAATTGGAATTGTGTTTGTTGGATTTGGTGAGAATTGGAAAATGTATAGTGTTCACTTTCGTAATCCTCAGAATCGAACTCGAGATTTGGGACCAACTTCCAAAGAGACCGCCATTGTTTAGACAAAACACTCGTGGCTACGACAATGTTTGTTGGAAGAAAAGACAGTATCTTCAGAAGCAAAGCATCAGGCAACTCACTGATCCTGTCTTTACGCATAATTCTCAAACTTTCACCAACAAAACCAAAGGAAGACAAGATTAATAATTAGGGTTTAGAAAAGCTTCGGGCAACAGATTCATCCTATCCTTATTCATAAAACCTCGATTTCTCCAACTTTTTTGACCACCAAATAAAAGAATTAGAGTGCTATATATCGGATTTCAAATGCTCTAAACATAAACGAAACAAAGAAACTTACCGTTGTTCCATTGTCGGTGAAATCCTTCAGGGTTTTGCTTTTCCGGTGCTAAAATCGCATTTCAACACTCAACAAGTAGAAGAAGAAAGTACTGAAGCTCGCCAATTGAGAGAGACTAGGGATTTTTATTCAAAATCGAACCAAAGCCGACCGGTTTACTTATGCAAACCCACTTTTTTGGGTCTGCTGATTATAACCGTGTCAAAAAAAAAAAAAAAACCAAAATTAACGGTTCAGATTATATAAGTAATCCATCCTACGGTTGTGATCTCTTTCTCCAACGGTTGCTGACATCATTAACAACGGTCTAGATCCAAAATAAAGTAAAAGAAGTTCTGAACACCTCAGTGATCAAATAACGCTAAGGTGAAAAAAAGATTGTCGACTAAGATTGGTTTGCGTCGTTCAAATCTTGCTTAATGGTCGGATGATTTTTTTTCTAAAATATTTATTTTCACTTTCTAGGTAAAAAATATTTGGGGGGAGGGGGGTTAGAATCTAATTGAATTGAATTAGAAAGATAAATTAGTTATGTTTACGGAATGTAAAAGATTTCCAAATCTGTTTTTTTTTTTTATAAACTAAACTTCATTAAGCGTAAGTCTTATCCTCACACAAAAGAGGAGGGGTTACAAACCCACTTAATGAAGGAGGTAACCTAGGGATCTATTGAACATACATTCAACAAACGAAACCAAAAAAGATTAAAAAGAGACCATCCCAAAAGCTTCATGAGAAACTGCATCCATCGCAACCCAAAAGGTTACAAGTTCTGCAACAAGGGTAGAGGAAACTATCAGCCGAGAGGAAGATCCTTGCAAAACCAGCAAGGCTTGATCATCCAAACCACTCCAATCAAGAGGAAATTTTGGGTAGAAAAAATGACAAAGGGTGCCAAGATGAGGATCCTCAGTCTTAAACAAAGGATGCACTTCCCACTTCCCATCTACAACAACATAGACGATAATGCTAATGATATGGGCAAAGCCCTTACCAACACACAAAGTTAGAACATGTCTAACAAGGACCTCGATACAAGGTAAACCAGAATCATCATTAAAGTGATTCGAGAGAATCAAATCTCCATCTAAGATAACGCCAAATTCAATGACTGAATTCCAAATGAAAGGGATATGATTACAAGGCTCAACCTTCCATCGAACATAGCTAGTTAAGCCTTTCTCTGACTCTGTTTTATAAGACCAACTAAGCTTAGTGAATGGAGGGTATAAGAGCAAGGATTCAGAAGCAAACCTCAACGAGAGACACGCGGGTCGGATGTGACAACAAAAGCTGCACAACGCCAAGAGAGTCATTGAGTTAGGCTCAACCTCAGTTCGATGAAAGTGACCGGAGGCTTCGGCTAAGGACGAGAATGGCTTAAAAACGACAAAAGAAAAGTAGTCATTTCAGGGAGTAAGCTCGCCCGAAAAACAGTTACTTCGCCGGAAGAGGAGGCTCACCCAAGAGATCTCACTCTAGAAGTAACGGTGATCAGAAAAGTAGGCTGCTAGCGTAGTAACGCCAATGGAAGAAACTCATCTCGTCCAAGGCTTATGAAACCTTTGGTTTTTGTGCATGGGAGATAATTCTTTAGGGCGAACTCCAGAGCGTTCTTTTTTATTTCAAATCTTTCCTTAATTCTAAAGATTTTTAAGAAATCGTTTGGGTAGAAATTACAAACTAAAATGATAAAGCATCATCGTCTCTATGAAACCAAGAGTCAATGATCCATCACCATTGTTGATCCATTCGTTGTTGTTGTTAGGTCTATGTTTCTTAATCTCACTCCCAGTCCATTCCATCACAAACTCCTTGATTCAATCCCTCCTCTGCTTCCACCATTGTTGTCATGTTTCCACCACCAATTCTCTGGCGAAAGTCCTGATGTCTCCCAGAGATGTCACCGGCTCCATCAAGATTAATTCCACAATTTATAATCGTATCTTTCTATTATTTTAATCAGTCATGTATATTATATGTTAATCCGAAACAATTCTATAAAGATCGATCATCAAACCTTGCCAAAATCAAATAAAGAGATTTTGTCATTGTCGAGCACACACATTTGCACTTTCTAGGTAAAAGAAATGAATAAATTGCAATTCCAAAATCTAAAGATCCGAATAGATTAGAGTAGTTATCCTCCAATAAAACTTTAGAGTAATTGTTCTTTTTCAAATTATTAGTAGAAAGTTTTCCTCCAATAAAAAAATTCTAATTAAAAGAAAATTCCACAATTTATCCCTTCCATATTTTTCTATAATCATGTCCACTCATATCATGCGTAATTAATTTCGGGATGTAAAAAAGAAAAAGAGTTAAAACAAGGGAGAGTTATACTATGGGACACTTTCTACCACTTTGTTTGCAAAAGACACACTTTCTGTGTTTTTATAAGTTTTTCTACTGTTGAACAAAATTCAATACTATTATACCCCTGAACTACATCGATTTTGCTAAGGAATTGAGTTGAGTCTAACTAATAGTTTAGCTATGTTGACCGTTAGATCTTAACAGATATTTGAGATCTAATGGTTAAAATTCACAGAAATTCTGAAAATTACATGCTACTACGTTGACATACAAATATATATATTTAGGATAATTTTTGTTCTTTTTTTTCTCCTTCCATGTCACTTCTCTTTCCCTCTCTCTTTTTCTTTATCTCATTCTATCTTTATTATCATTTTAATTACTTAATATCATATATTTCGTCTATTTTTTTATACAATAGATTAAGATTTAAGTTTTCATACATTTTAAGATCTATTTTGCTATATTTTAGATGAAAAATTATATTACATATATATTATCCATTTTTTATTGAACATTTGTTTGTTATTAAATGGATGTCTATATATACTTGAACAAACATACTACAACAATATTTCTAACTACCGATCATCCAAGCATATCCGCTAAATTCTGACCACATAGATGAATAAGAATAAAATTTCTCGGTGGATTATACATCTGCCAAACTCTGATCAAGTGTCTGTTGTTCATATTTTACTATTATACATGTTGTTTAGTTTATCTGACCATCCAACACTGAACACATGGTTAAAATTAATATACTCAAGCATTTCTATACAAAGCTTGAAGAAAGAGAAGAACATGACAAGTAAGGTATCCATCAAAGATTGTATATATGGATAATGGCAAGTATGTTGACTATCTCGGTGTTATTAACTTTCGTAAGTACTACGATGAACTAGTGCTTATGGTAAAATGGACAAGTGTTTATGGCCGAATCCAAATGGATGATCTGGAAGAGTTTAGAGAACCTTAAATCCATTATGGTGTTGCTGGTTGTGATGGTGTCCCAAGCCTGCAACAAGTCTTGATGATTTTCAATTAGCCGACAATACATATGGTCTTCACCAAACACATACAATTACCCAATTTATAATAGACATTGCTTCTCTTGTTTTTCCAAGAATCAAGAACAACCTTTCTAAATAAATTAGAAACTTTTGAGTTTTTACATGTCAAAAAACACAATTATTGTGAACATATTAGATAATGGATATGAACGAAAGAATAGTTAAAAGAAATAATACATAACGCACCCATATGGGTATACATAACGTATCCATATGGAACTGACCAATCTTATCATATGCCCATTTAAAGCTTACCAATCCAATTCAAACGTATGGACACAAGTTTATACATGAAAAATAATCGCCAATTCAATGTACATCGTTCATTGTTTTTGACCATTTATTCTCTTCTGTATGTCCTATTATTATATACCATTTCGTCATTCTTTAAGTATTAAGAAGCATATAAATGTCAATTATTATGGAACTTACAATGGGAGTAGGTTCCCACTACCATTCTTAGTCTATGAGTTCGGAGAAGAGAAGAAAGTGACCGGTACTCTTTTAGCCATATGTTTGTTTATATCTATCCATTAGTTCATATCCATTTAAATAAATTGACTCCAATTCTTTTAGCCATCCATTTGTTCATATCCATTACAAGATAGATTCGTACAACCATACATACCACATTACCCCAAAGAGATTTGACCATTTAATATTTTCAAGACCTTGAAGCCATGTTCGATCACATGGAAGAAGAAATCAAACAAATATCAAATCAACTCGGATTTTGAATTTAGGACAATAATCTCATTGCTAGTTGCAACTCAATTTTAATATACTACTTTCTATGGCACTGCTGGTAGGGAAGATTACAAATACATGCTAACCAACGGAAGGATAAAGAAACTAAAATACCCTTTTCACATACAGCCACCGTTCATCTATATGCTTTATCATCCACAGACACATATGAGAAGATATCTTGGGTTTGGAATCAACCACATCATTGTTGGGGTCGGATCCCATCCCTTAGCACCGAACCGGATTTTGGACACCTCAGGGAACTTCTGAAAATACCTCGGGGAAATGTGTTAATCACCTCGGTAAAACAAGCCATTCACCTCGGGGCAACAAGACATCCGCCTCGGGGCAACATGCCGGTCACCTCGGGGTCCACAGGTGAACTCGCAACCCGAGCCAGCTCTTCAACCGCCCGAGCCGGTTCACGCCAGGATACCCGAGCCACTTCCTTCCGTGTACCCGAGGCCATCACTTCGGGTTACCCGAACCAGTCGCATCGGGTACCTGAGCCGAGCCTTCCTGTGCACCCGAGCCGATTGCATAAGTTCTCCAGGGCGAAGTATTCGTCATCACCCGAAGCAAAGACTTAGTAAATATTCTCCTTCAAAGGTATCATTTCCAAGCAAGTTATCATTTCCGAAAAAGAAGGATCATTTCCGATAAACTCGGAAATGATAAAGAAGAATCGCGAAGGATCAACTCAAATCAGGAAGTCTTCCAAAAACTTCGAAGAATAAGGAAATTATCCTAATCTACGATATTCTGGCCGACTTCAAGATAAATGGAAATCTTCCGAGAATATCGCTGGAGAGGCGGTTTATCATCCCTATATAAAGAGATTCAAGGCTCAGACGAAAGGGCAGGCAAGATCGCTCTAGAATTTACACTACGCAAAGCTCTCGCAGCACAAACATCTTTTTCTTTTACGATCAAACTCGTGTACGATCAAAGTCATCATTTTTCTTAATAATATCAAGAACACCATCTTTGGTATCAATTGATTCTGTCGTTCTTTGAGAACTCTCGCAAATCGTATCCCTAAATTAAAACCCTAGACAAATCTCGTTTGTGTTAGTTTCGACTTCCACAGTTTGGCGCCGTCTGTGGGGATACTTTAGAATTCTCTTACCCTAAGACGCAGAACTCGATTACCGAAAAGGACGATGAACGAAGACGGTCGTCAGACACCACCAGCTGGAGGAGGGATCCCGAACCCTCTGAACCCTCAGAATCCTCAAGCCGATCCGACGATCATAGCGACTCTAGCCGAACTGAAAGACCTGATGGTTAAATTCCAGAAGAAAGCTGACGACCAAGAGAAAGCTAACAAAACCTTGGCGCAGCGAGTCGACGAAATCGCAACACGTGGGCAACCAAAAACAACGCGTTTCCAGACTCGGCCGCCACGAGCTCGGAGGGATTTACCTGGCATCAACCCAACAAGACTCACGTTCGCGACACCAACCGGCAACACAAGAGTCGCAACCCGAGCCGACCCTGCCAGACGCGAGAACCAAGATGACCCCACCGAGCCAGACGCAGTGGATTTAACGGACGAGCCAGACGATCTGCAAGATGAGCGTACCCGAGCCGGAGCTAACTCCGCCGAGCGAACAGATCTCACTGACGATGAAGAAACTGAGGAAAACATAAGGTGGGCCGAAGAATCTGAAAGAGAAGACGAGCTAAGCAAGATCCGAGCCTCCCTAGCCAAGGCGGAAGCTGATATGAAGCTCGTCAAAACCCAGATACATAGCGTTTCATCCTCCGCACCAAACATCGACCGAATTTTAGAAGAATCTCGGAATACTCCTTTCACCGAAAGAATTTCCGAAACGACGATGTCCAATCTGGGAAAGTTTAAAATCGACCCGTACAACGGATCAACCGATCCAAAGTGCCACATTAAATTGTTCGTGATATCTGTGGCCCGAGCCAGGTTCAAACCCGGGGAAAAGGACGCAGGTCTGTGCCTACTGTTCGTGGAACACCTCAAAGGACCCGCATTAGAGTGGTTTTCAAGATTGGAACGAAACTCGATTGACAGTTTCGACGAACTGTCGACACTGTTCCTCAAACAATACTCCGTGCTCATCGACCCCGGAACCTCCGACGCGGATCTGTGGTCCCTGTCTCAACAGCCCACCGAGCCGTTAAGAGATTTCCTCAAAACCTTCAAATCGACGCTAGCCAAGGTAGAAGGAATTACAGATGTAGCCGCTCTTTCGGCTTTAAAGAAAGCTCTCTGGTACAAGTCAGAGTTCAGGAAAGAGTTGAATCTGTCTAAACCGACAACAATTCGCGATGCGCTGCACCGAGCCTCGGATTTCGTCGCCCATGAAGAAGAGATGGCGCTGCTATCAAAGAGGCACGAGCCAACGAAACAGGCGCCCCGAGCCGAGAAAACCGAGAAAGCCAAAGCGACGCCTCCGGTCCAGAAAAAGACACGTGAGAGCGGTACGTATACGCACCACGAAGGGCGTAATTTCTCAGGATACCATAGCTATCAGATTGACACGCCCCGAGGCCGTGGCCGCGGCAGAGGCCGGGGCCGTGGACGAGGAAGAGAATCCTTTACTTGGACAAGGGATCAGCCACCGAGCAATGATCAAGAATATTGCGAACACCACAAAATTTTCGGCCATCATACCTCGAGATGCCGAAGCCTCAGAGCCAAGTTAGCAACCAAATTCCTAGCTGGAGAGCTCGGGACAAACGTTACTCTTAAGGACCTCGAGCCAGAACCAGAGCCCGAGCAGACCAACCCAAGAAGAGACCCCGAACCAAGGAACCAGGAGTCTCAGAAAAGAGCCCAGGGGTCGGAAGACGAAGACCGAGATGGCACGCGGCAGAAAGTTCTTACCATAATGGGTGGATCGCCATACTGTCCTGACACCGTAGCGGCAATCAAAGCTTATCAACGCCGAGCCGAGACGCCTAGCAACTGGACGAGACGCTTCGATCGACCTAACGACGTGATCACGTTCGAAGAAAGCGAGACAAACGGGCTCGACATGCCGCATAAC